ACTTATATGAGGGGGCGGCGTGCGCGAGCAAAGGGGGTGCAACAGGATATGTGCAGCTTCGGGGGTCCGTCAAGGGGGGGGGGGGGACGACGCCGGGCAACTACATGTGCACTCATGCGCGCGGCGAAGCCTCGAGAGGTGGCGCGGGCCTTGAGGCGTCGGCCGTTGGGGGTGTCTTAGGACGTGCTGCTGGCGCCGGGCCCGGGCGGGCGGCGCGGCGCAGGCACCGCGGGCCTGGGCTGCCGGGGAGAGGTTTGGGCAGAGGGCCTATAGACAGCGCTGCGTTCAGGCAGCAGCGGCCAAGAGATCGGCGTCAGGAATCAACGGGATTGTACAAGCAACAGCAACTGCGTGCGTGGTGTGGATGCCTTCTTGCGTGAACGCAGGATCAATGCGGTGCAGTCGGCCGGGCCGCGGGGCGCGCGGGCCTGGCGCAAAGCGATGCGTTGGACCTCAAAAGAAGTGGATGGGCCCGAAAATGCGCGCGTGCCGCTACGCGAGGGCGACGCATGCTGCCGCTCGCGGCGCGCGTGGGGCACGGCGCGCAATTCTGGGTCCCTGGGGCCTCGGACGAACCCTGACATGGAGGCGAATCGACAGCCATCAGTCCCTAAGCCCACACAAGGGGGCTGCTGCAAAAAGCCGATCGGCGCGAAACGTTTCAAACGGTTTGCCTGGCAAGGCGCGGCGGGGCGGCGGGCGCGCGCACGCGCGCGCGCCGGCGGCGGGGGGTTGAGGGTCGGGGTACCTGGGCCTGTTTTGTTCCTTAGCATGCGTTGACCAAGCGCGGCTGCCGCGAATCCGCCGCCCGGCGGTTTCGGCTGCCGGGCAGGTTCCCTGGTGCGAAAACAGCGCGCGCCGGTGGCGGTCGCGGCGGGGCCGGGCCCTGATGGCGGCGCCGACAAACAATCAAGCAATCCTGACACGCGGCGCGGCGCCGCGCGGGGCGGCCCGCGCCCAGCCCCCCAAGCGGTGGCTGCGCCGGCGGAGGCTCATCCCTTGAAGCAAATACGACACAACCTGGGCGAAATGGCTGGAGGCAGCGGGGGCCGGGCAAGGGGCGGGCCGCACCGGCGGGCAAGCCAGACGGCAAGGGTGGCAATAAGGGGCCCAGGGGACACAGGGTATTGTGTCCTGGCCAGTGGGGGCTGCCAAATGCAGCCCCTTGAAAAGGTCGCTCGGCGCGCCAATTTAAGTGGTATGGGGGATGGCGGCCCACGCGGCTCGCCTCATTAAGAGGGGGCCAGCACGGGCGTGTAGGGCAGGGACGCCCCGCGCGTTTTTATTTGGTTCAAGTATGGTGGGCGGCGCCTCCGTCGCGCGCGCGGCGCGCGGGAGAGCGTCGAAGGGGGGGTTGCGGAGCGTGCGCGCGCGCGTCAGTTGCGCGCCAGCAGCAGCGCGCGCATCGTCTGCAGCTGCCCCGCGCGCCCGAGGACGGACGCCGCCGGCGGGCGCGGCGCGGCGGCGGCGGTGGCGGCGGCCTCCGCGACGGCGATCGGCGACTGCGGGTGCGGGTGGGGGCGGGGGCGGGGCGGCGGCAAGGTGAGGGGGAGGGGGCGTGCGCACGGGGCAACACGGCTGCGGCGCTGGGGCTGCGGGCAAAGAGGCCCTGCGGCCCTTCCTCCTGCTGGGCGGCACGCATCCCCCAGACACCACAACTCGTACCACCCCACCCCGCAGCACGACACGCGCCCCCACCGCACAACCACCCTCCAGCCCCCAGGCCCCCACTCCCGATGCTCACCGGCCGCCCCGTCGCGCGCAGGTACCCCTCCGCATCATACATCCGCTCAAACCGCAGCAGCAGCCGCTCGTACGCCGCCTGCAGCGCCGCGCCGGCCTCCGCCCCGCCCACGCCCAGCTCCTCGCCGACCTCCCCCCAGCGGCCGAGCAGCGTCACCCACAGGTGGCCGCCCCGCGCCACGGCGGATGAGAAGAGGCGCCGCAGGTCGATCTGGCGGCCGTCGGGCGCAGTGGGAAGCGCGGAGAGCGCGCCGGGCGGCAGGACGCCGGGCGGCAGGTCTGGGCGCAGGCCCGCCAGGTATTCCCCCATCACCGAGACCGCCTCGCTCCCGTCGCCGGGCAGGGGCGCCAGCGGCGCGCGCGGCAGCGCCAGGCGCGGCTGCTGCTGCTGCTGCGGCGGCTGCTGCTGCTGCGGGGCAGCAGCGCGCGCGGCGCGCTGCTGGATGATCTCTTCCAACAGCCGCTGCTGCAGCGCCAGCTTCTGCTGCCGCTCCCGCTCCTCCTGCTCCTCCTGCTGCTGCTGCGCGGCCGCCGCGGCGGCGGCGGCCGCGCGGACGGCGCGCTCGCGTTCGAGCATCAGCTGGTGCAGCAGCAGCGCATGCTGCTCCCGCTCCACCTGCGCCGCGGGCCGCTGCGCCGCCGCCGCCGCCGCGACCGGCACGGGCGCCGCGCGGCGGTGCTGCTGCAGGTGCGGCGCGGCCGGCGCGCGCATGTCGGCGTGCGCGGGGCCGTCGCCCGGGCCGTCGTGCTGCTGCCGCAGCTGCTGCTGCTGAGTCAGCCACTCGAGCACCTGGGCCTCGACAGACGCCGACTCGTCCTCCTCCTCC